GGCTAATTTGATACCACCGATGTATCATGGATTTTACAACTCCCTTCGGCCTGCTAGTAAGACTGACCACCAGGAAGAAAGTAATATTGACCAAGAAGATGACTCTGACTCTGAATCGTAATAAATTTTCCTTTTATGTCATTATTGATTATTAACAATTATTTTTTTATCTAAAAATAGAAAATGTTTAATTTTTCTGTACCTTATTAGTGTAGCAAGTTGTTTCTCAATAAAAATTTTGTCCACGAAAACTGTAGTAACTCATTCAAAATCCATTTTTTCTTATCCTAAACTATTTTATTTAGATCATCAATAATTAATTAAGACCTAAACAATAATTACTTTGTTAAAGAAGAACGATTAAGCTCTTGTTCTAAAAAAAATAACGAACATTATTATTTTCTCCACTATTCAAATGCAATTATCTCAGTATAACCAAATTTGAGATACGACAGTTTTCCTTGGGAGAGTCGATATACACCCTAATAACAGACAAAACCAAATAGGCCCCGATTTCCATTTTTCCCGACGGCCCCCGAACGAGCCAGACCGGGCCTGGCTTCTGCCAGAAATTATTTTATTTTTTATTAACTCTAATATCCTATAACCTTTAACCATTCATAAATTTCATTCATTCATTGGGTAGTCAAGAAATAATAAATAATTTTGCATTTTGTCAACATAAATTCTGACATAAGAACAAGGCCAGAAATGCTTCATACTAATCAAGATATTTGAATCCCTCTATATTTTGAATTTCAGCAATTGTAAAATTAATAATTAATCTCAATTTCAGTCAATAATTCCATTTTTTGGATATTTACATTAAACAATAAATATTTAAAAAAAGGGCTGCAATATAAAACGTTATAAATTAAAAACTTTTATTAGTTTTTAACATACAGTGCACATTACAACAGTCAATAATGAAATATTAAAGTTCTTCGGAATAATTCTCCTAATTCTTTCATCTCATCATTATGTACAAAATAAATAATATAAAAATGTATATATACCAATCTTTCATAAAAATTGCCACCATGTTTTAACACTATTTAGATACCTACATATATATGACAATTCATATCTAAAAATTAATATAAAAATACATGATGACTAACAATTTTAATATTTTACAATCCATTGCCCTTTAGCCATGTTAACTGTGTCAGACGAGACATTGATAATGCATCTTTCATAGCTGCAATTCTTTATTTTGCATTGGTACTGCAGTTTGCAACCTATTAATTGAAATCTAATTATAACTTTTGTGATTATAATCTAACAAAAAAAAATAAAAAGCAACTGGTGACAGAACAAAAATTGAAAATGTTTGTGTGTCAGTAACGTGAAACTATTTATTATTACAGTTTCTACTTTTCTAATGCTAAATAGTTTTGAATACATTTATTTACAACAAATGTAAAAACTAAATAAAAGTTATGTAGAAATTTATTGTACAATGATAGAAACATAGAAACATGAAAGTATAGATCATTCTAATGACTCAAAAGTGTAAAACACAATTTGACAAGAAATCCATCAACATTGGAAACATACCAGCCGTGCTCATTTAGGAAGCATGTCAACTTTAAATTAACAGTTCTATTGTATTTTTAATGGCATTAGAAATGAATGCTTATAATTTTTGAAACAGCTATTGCAACCATTCTGATTTTATGCTTTGTATACAGAAAATATAATTGAAAACTTAAACCATAAGTACACATCATTAAAAAATACACAATAGGGCTGGTGAAAATTTGAGTGGTCGTAATTTGGTAATAAAGCACTCATACCGTTCTTTGCGGGGACGATTTCTAGATCTACATAGACAACTTTCACGGTGAATAAATTTCTAACGAAATTTTCAAAATAAATTAAAATAGAAATTTGCAACCCTAAAATCGTAAAGAGGGTTGCACACATATTTGCAAATTATAGTTATTTAACAAGCAACTAAGGTACATATACATATTTTTCACAAAATGTTAATTTTTCTTAAAGTTACAAAATTATATAGTTTTTACAACCCTAAAATCTCATGAGGTTGCATGCATTTTTGAAAAATATATTTTTTTATAATCTAATGATAAATACAGGCATTTTTGTTATTTTTCAGAAAATGTTCATTTTTCTTATATTACAGCATCAAATACTTGAAAAACAGACGTTGGTAGTAGATTAAAATGTAAACAGGTATAACTTCGAAGAAAACTGAAGTTTTTGCAAAAAAAAAAGTCAAAATGTATCCATCCATAAAAAGAAACGTATACATATGCAACCCTCTTCAAGATCTCAAGTTCAGCTATGCCTATTTAATATTTGTTTTGCATATTTCATTTGAATGTGCTTTATGTGAACATAGAAATCATCCCCCAATAAGCAACATGGCTTCCATATTATCAAAATAAGACTAGTCTAATTTTCATGTCACTGCTGAGTTGGTTTCACACAAATTTTGAAATATTTACCTACAAAAATTTTAGAATGTTGAATATTACTCTTCATATCTCAGCGAAGGCAAAAGTATATACAGCATTAAGAATGTTTAGAGTAACAAAAACTTAAAAAAAATCAAAGTTAAAAATATACAGGGTTCTTCATGGTAAGTAGCTTACTTAACGTTTCAAAGGAATCAAAGACAATATGACTGAAATTTTATTTACAGAGGTTATCAGATATGTGCTCTTCATTGAAAATACTGCCATCAACGCAGCACTTCCAGTTATAGCAGAAATAACTGTCAACTTTGTTATTTTAAATGGAAGACCCTATATATTATTGCATTATCAACAAGATAAATTAAAAATGAGTCAAAAATTTTAAAGTTTCCCTGTACCTAAATCTAACAGTTTTCGAGATAATCGTATTTTACAAAAAATTTGACAGATGCAAGTGTTTCGAAAATTCCTTATATCTTTCTTCGTTCTAGGAGCTTTCACTTGCTTTTCGGAATACACAAAGAACATAAGATGCACTACCTTCCTCTATCAAAATTACCTGAAGAAAATTATACTGTGGCCCATTTTTCACGTTACATTTTGAAAACTTAAAACCGACAAAACTTTTTAAATTCAAATGGAACATCCTGTATGTTTCTCAGTTTCAATTTTCTCAGATATTTTCGGTTTACTTACATTTTCAAAAATATTAAGTTAAAATATTATCAAATGTGCCTTGAAAGGCAAATATTGGTATTGTATTCAGTAGGTATTTTACAAGTATCATGTACTTTCTCGACAAGAAAAATGCAGAATAATTATTCTAATGAAGATATTTTGGATTTATTTTATATCCATGAATCAGTATTACCTAGCTGCATTTCTATGATTTGGTATTTTGCAAAATTTGAAGAATTGGACGCAAATGAAACTCGGTCATCTACAATAGCATTCTTTGTAGAACATTGAATTTTTATTTTTTTTTTTTTTTTTTCATAATTACATTAATAACGTGCGTTGTTTCACGTTTGTTGCATCTTTTAACTAATGAGGGATATAGGTATACAAAAATAATACCTAATAAGATTTCTTTCCATTGTGATACTATTATTAGTAACTGCAAGTACAATAACAAGCAAATAAGCATCCTTTTATTAAGAAAGCAACAAAATGTAAAGTAACCAAAATTTTAAATTATAGTATCCTCTCAACTTCATTTCAATATCATGAAATTATAATAATGCATTTATTAGTTGTTTGAAATTATCTTTGCTATTCTTTCAAAACTTTTACATTAAAGATAAGGGAAAAATTCTAAGAAAACCAACCGAAATCATTTCATTAATTGTTCTGTTTCAGTTGCAAAATACCAAATCATAGAAATACAGCTAATAATTTTGATTCACGGTGAATGTTCCATGGATATAAAACAAATTCAAAACATCTTCAATAGAATAATTATTTTGCAGTTTTCTTGTCGAGCAAATACTTGATACTTACAGAATACAGAATACTGAATGACAGTACCAATATTTGCCTTTCAAGGTACATTTGATGATATTTTTAACGTAATATTCTTGAAAATGTAAATAAATCGCAAATATCTGAGAAAATTGAAACTGTAACCTCTACAACGCTTATATCGGTGAAAAGAAACTTTGATTTTCTCTAATATGATGCCGAAACATACAGGGTGTTCCATTTGAATTTAAAAAAAATGTTCGGTCTCAAGTTTTCAAAATGCAACGTGAAAAATGGGCCACTTAGTACAATTTTTTTCGGGTAATTTTGATAGAGGAAGGTAGTGCATGCTCTTTGTGTATTCCGAAAAGCAAGTAAAAGTTCCCAGAGCGAACCAAGATATAATTTTCGAGACGCTTGCATGTGTCAAAATTTTTATAATATCCATTCTCAAAAACTGTTAGATGTAGGTACAGGGAAGCTTTAACAATTTTGACTTATTTTTAATTTATCTTGTCGATAATGTAATAATATATAGGGTGTTCCATTTAAAACAACGAAATTGACTGCTACTTCCGGTATAATCGTAAGTGATAGCATTATTTTCATAGAAGAGAACATATGTGATACCCCCATAAACAAAATTTTAGTCATATTGTCTTTGGTTCCTCTAAAACGATTAATAAGCTACTTACTGTGAAGAACTCTGTACGTATACTGATATTAGCATCTCATATCTATGCGTATCATTTATCACTAGAATTAATATTTTCTTGAAAGATGTAGACTAGTATATTCCATATTCCAGTTCAACAACAATAAATTAAATAATTCTCAAACAACTTATAATAGCAGACATTTGTTGAAACCTGAACTAACTAATACTCTTAATTCTCTCCACTCATGACATTTCTTGAAAATCATAAGTAAATAACATTTATAGTTTTGAATACTTTGGTTATTTCAATGTAACTTTATGGAATTGCACAATAGTCTCTTATCAAATATTTGTTGCTATTTATCACAACAAAAAATATTTAGCTATTTGGCATAAAGACATTTAATTATTAAAAATGAGATAAAATTTGACAATAGAAAAAATAATTTAAAACATTAGATATTAGTTTTTACTAGTCAAACAATTTAAAACAGGGTATTTGAATATATTATTTGATTTCAGATATCCAGCAAGAGAAATCTAAAACTACCAAGTCCTGCAACAGATTTAATTTCTTTTTCAGACAGAAAGCATTAGTTTTATCAAATGCATATTTACACGTATTTATAAATGACAGACATTAATAAACAAATAAAACATATAATTTAGCTGTACCCAGATTAAACTTTTCTTTTTGTAATATACTGTCCGACAGTATTCGTTTAATAGTATTTAGAACTAAATCTATTTGACTCCCTGAATACTTAATTTTTTTAACTCATCAACATATAATAAAAAGAGGACACATTAATCTGACAACACAATTTAGGTAAAAGGCATTTAGAATATTTAATATCTCTTTTCAATAGGCGAGCGAGACCGAGAACGAGACCTAAGTTTATTATTAACTGGCCCTACATCACCCCAATCTGATAAGTCATATTTGGACAAATCTCCATCGTCGTCATCATCTTCCTCTTCTTCCTCCGCCTCTTGTTCAGATTCAATTTCACTGTCTTTTTTAGTCACTTTTTTTTCTTCCTCTTCTTCTTTATCACATTCGCTTTTGGAATGACTTTTTCTTTTTTTCCTCCTCCCAAACTCATCATACTCATCATCAGACTCCTCACGTTCTTTATATTCTACCACACCACGATCATTGTAACCTCCACCGAAACCAGTTCTTTCTTCTACTTCTCCAAATTTGGGAGCATTGCAAACATTACATGATTGTCTACGAGCCCAATTTACATTACCACATTTATTACACTGCCAATCATCTGCACTAAATAAACCTCTACTTTTTTCTGCTGCTGCTTTACCTATCTCTGTACCTAATTTACGCTTTTTTATTGCAGCTAAATTAACAGCTTTACTTTTATTACATCTGTTGCAATTGTTTCGCCGAGCAAAATTTACATTTCCACAATCTTCACAGGTCCAATCACCTTCATTTGAACTAGAAGATTTTAAACTTGGTGGTGGAGGCGGTGTTAAATCAGCTTCTGCCATTGATTTCTGATATACCTGGAAAAAAATGCATAATTAAACCTTCGACCCAAAAAGTATGTTGCCTGCGATATGACTGTACACTGTATTAGACACAGTTTGTAATATACAAGGCAGATTATCATCACATGGTATTTTCAATACACACTTTTCTGTTGCTTTATTTTTAACTATACTAAACGGGTTTGCCAATCTAAATTTGATCCCAATAAATCACAAATACTTCCTGTAAAGCTCATATACCTTTACAAACGAAAAATGTTTTTTTATTAGAAATTAAATTCTAAATTTCACAGATATACACAGCGCCTTCACAAGACGCAAAAGTGTTGTTACAATTTTTGAGTTTTGACAGCACCCTTCTTTAGTCGTATTCAATTTGAATACCTGACCTGCACAGATTCAAGTTGGACTTGACAAATGAAACTTAACTTTTAAAATGTCGATATTCTCTTATTAATTTAGTAGCTCAATCTCTCATTTAAATACTTATGAAATACGAATTTTTTTCAAATGGATTAATGCAACAAAATCATCTAAAACCTTAAAGAAAAAACTTGGAAAGGCGCGTTCGAGTTGATTAAAATTAAATTTAAAAAATAAAAATAGTTATATAATAACTAAACAACAACGTCTATTTTAAATATCGATCAAATTAAATTAATGATCGTTAACAAAGTATGGTGTACGTATCCTCTAAATTTATCAAATATTAAATATGATTTTAATATTTTCGCTATTTTAGAAATTCGTCTATAATATTACAACCACAAAACATATAAATACGTTACAACATTCATTTATACATTTTTATTCGTGTTCTTGTATTCATGGGCTACATGCAGCTGATAGAATCCATGAGTTATATTAGACTTTTATTCATTATAAATATGATGGATTCTGCCTATGTAATATTATTGGTCTGATTCACAGACCACCTAGACTGGCCGTATCTAATTCCAACGCACGGGTACCAGTGAATGCAAAATCCGGGGAAGTGGAGTGCGAAAGGCAATCTGATCGCGCGCATCTTTAAGCAGATCCGGATTAAGTAATATTTTTATTACATATTAAACATTATGTTGCATCTTATGACAAATATTCAATTTTAAGTTTGTAATTCAGAAAATAGTATATTTTAGTGTCATATTAAATAAAACTACAAAATAATTTAAATATATTTATTATCCTCTAAATAATATTAATTTATTTAATATTTGTCTTTTCGTAGATTTTACCGAATTAAATAATTTGACTTCATGATTTATTCGTACATCGATATACTTTTCACATTCAGCCCTTACAAGTTTTATTAAATGATTACAATTGTTAGGCAAATTATCAAATTGATGTTCATGCAAATTTTCAAATATGTTCACATTCAGAAAGTTTTTTAATACATGATAAACAATTTTATTTTTCTGTAGCCTAGGTGTACTGCTTTCATCATTATTTAATTTTTTTTTTTAATTTTTCTGTTTCTTAGCATATTACTACGACATCTCGAGATGGATACGTCAAACAACCACGATCTTTACTAAAAATTAATTGACTGTACGAATACTGAATCTGAAATTAGTTTTGTTTGCGATTTTTTTAATTGAAAAAATATTTAATTAATTTTCAGCTACCTCGAAATGACGGGGAATGGTAAAATTTCATAAAAATTTAAGCCTCACATAAAGTAAATAATTACTAAAAATATTTTACAGTAATTCATTCATTATTTTATAATAACAATATAACGTTAATCACTACACTATGTGGGCGAACAAAATTATAAAGCTAATCCTAGAAACTTATAACGTTAACCGAGAAATGGCGTACATATTTACCTTTTATATATTCCTTTTTTTTACTTACCTAAAGGTGGGAAACTTTTCGCCTCTCTTCACCAACTCGATCACTTCTATTTATACAATGTTTTACAATACACTTGCCCATGATAAAACGTCTAATTATCGAAATCACAGCGATGCGTACACATCAAATGCTAGGACACGACTAAACGCTGGGCTCCAAATCAGGCTCCAAAGTGTTTTCACCAAAGTCGCTCTATAAGCCAGTCTAGGTGGTCTGTGGTCTGATTAAACAATCCTAATTTGTGATTGGCATGGAAATCAGTATTATCTAGGATGGAAATGAAGAATAAAAGAGCACAGTCTAACTAATAGAGCATAATACTACATGGAGGAAGCATCCCGTATTAAAAAAGACGCTGTACAGTGAAAAAACGATAGCTTGGGTATTCGCTCTCTCTCTATTTCTCTCTAATAGTTGAAGAAAGCACAGATCAAGAAAAGATTGATCTGTGGATGAAGGAAATGCGTTACCCAACCATGTGCTTGCGTGAGAGAGAAAGATAATACCCTAACTAGCGCTTTCTTTCTCTGTCACTCGTCTAGACTGTCGCCATGCATAAGCGTGCTTCCGCCATGTAGTATATGCTCTAAGGTCTAACTCTACGATTCTATCGGCTGAATGTAGTCATCATTTAGATTTTATGTATCTTGTATCTTGTAGAGTCAATCAGAGATTATAATTTTTGAGACCAATAAATAATAAAATAAAGATACTTCGATAGAATTCATGGCATTAAAACAATGAATAAAAGTCCAGGACCTATTTATCAATGTTTTTGATTTGTCATTAGATATACAGGACTATATCATTGTTATTATTATAAGCTAATTCTATACTATTCATTCAGAACCTAGGGGGCATTGTGATCGACAATCAACATCCTTAGATTGGAAATTATGTTTTTATCATTATTATTTATTACACTTATTACTTATATTACTTTATTATAACAGATTAAGTAACAAATTACAATTTTTTGATGCGCTCTTAGAACTATCGGCGTTGACTTTGCTGCCCTCTGGCTGTGAATAGCCGAACTTCTGTGTCCAATGTCAAGAATTGACCCTCTTCTTTTCTTTTCTATGGCTCTATTGGTTTGAAGCGTTTAACCAACCTAACTTTTAATTGTTTGAAAGGAACGCTGTATTATCTTATTTTTCTTTAAATATAATTGGAATTTATAACAATGTCAAAAGCGCATCCCCCAGAATTAAAAAAGTAAGTAATTATTTACTATTACATTTTGTATGCTCTATTTTTGCGTTATTACAGATTTATGGATAAAAAGCTCTCCTTAAAATTAAATGGTGGCCGGCAAATTATAGGAATATTAAGAGGTTTTGATCCATTTATGAACCTTGTGGTTGATGAATCGATTGAGGAATGCAGAGACGGTTCAAAAAATAATATAGGAATGGTGGTATGTATTTACACATATTAAAATAATAGACAAGTTACTGATTATGTTTTAGGTTATTCGAGGAAACAGTATAGTAATGCTAGAAGCCCTAGATAGGATTTAATTCATTAGGAACTTAATTTAATATTTTGTACATGTTAAGATTTATATAAATAAAATTAAGTCACAAGTTTTTATTTTTATTTACCTAGTGACGTCGGTGTTGTGGTAGGACCATTAATATGTAAAACCTATAATTATTTGTATCTGTTTTTAAAACGATTCTAAAAAATGTTCATAATATACCTACTGTGAAGTGAAATGGTAACACATGGGATAATAGTAAATTATTTCAAAATTTTAAGTATACTTATATCCACATTATGATTGTAAATTTGCATATTAAACAAACGTAAATTTATAAATACAACCTTTCGGCTAGTCATTTTTCAGCTTTTCTTTAATTAGTGTTTTGCCCACCGAAAAAAATACAATAAGATGTACAGAAAACTTGCATGTACAGGATAATTCACAGCACATAAAAAATACAAAGGACGATGAAGTATCAACGACGTTGCAAGTTTGGCTTATAAACATATGCCCAATTTATTAATGACATACAGAAGTTAAAAAGAATAAAATTATTTTTGATGATAAAAAATTTTGACTATTAAACTACACTTTTTGATATAAGCTTACAATCAGAAAATAATTTGACTGTGATGCAGATATGGTCGGTTTCTAATTTGTTATACCCTGTAAATTTTCAGTTGGATTCCAAGTTCTCAAACATTTCTTTAGTAAAAGATTATTATTACCGACAGCTTTTTTTATTATACTAAATGCATGCATGTAATAGCAAATCAGTTTTAGGAATATATTTTTTATGTAATTTGTTAAAAACGATATTAAAACTATAAATTATATGAAAGATACAGTTTCATCAAAAACTGATAGTGTCAAGAAAATTATGTTTTAAAACTCTCAATGATATAGTTTGTAAAAATTAAACTGGTTATATTTTGATAATGCGATGGACCATACCGTTTTTAGTTAATGATATGTAGTCTTGCAACTTTTAAGACAAAGAAATTTACAATGAAAGCAAAATTTAAAATTAATATGGAGGTTGCTACACTCAGATCTTAAAAATGGTTGTGCATGTACAGTGGAGACCACTAGGTATGTGTAAGAACCAGCAGACCTCTCTCTAAAATTTTTTTTGGAACGCGCAATTCCAATAGATTTTTTTTAAACATAAAAGCCTTCTAATGTACTTGCTCAACCAACTAGGAGGAACCAGTTGGCAATTTATGGCCTGCTGAGAATCACTAGGGATTTTTTTAAAATTGGTTACATTACGTTAATCGTTAATCAGCTTGACTTGAAAATCCTTAAATATCAATGTCAATTTATAACTCTAATTTTTTTCGTTAAGTGAGTTCTTTTAATATCTAAGAGCGGTTTTGTAAACTTGAATAATAACCCTGTAAAGTTGATGCATCCAACCATTTTTCTGTTCCAAATATAGTATTCAAAGTTTTGGCAAGAATTGAAGGAACATATGTATTGCTCTCAAATATTGTCATTAACAAAATGAAAAAGAAGAATTTTTCTCAACTTTTTCCATAATTTTACATTAGCCATTGTTTAAATTTAAGAAACAAATATAAAAATTGTCATGAAAATTTTTCAATAATTTTTTATTTTATTTTATTTCTTTTAATTTGGAAAAGTTTCTGGACTTTTGATAAAATAATATTAGTCCAGGAGAATTACACATTGGCATGGCTGTTGCTTGACGTAGTTTAGATATTAGTAAAAATCGGTCGAAAATAATATAAACAATGAAAATATAAGGTTGCGCCAAGAAAAAAAGTTGTGCTATTTGCAGAAAAAATTAAAAACTGCAAAAATACTCAAAAATCACATGTTTTTTCTAACATTTTCCAATATAACTTCTTATATATGCAGTTTACAGAAAAAACTATTACTAATGAAATTGTTTGTTATGAAATTTGCTATAATACAGAATTGTTTTGATACCTGCGCATTTCATATTTTTGTTGCTAGATAGCCAAAACAGCGTAAGAAAGTGATGAAAATCGAGGTAATTTTGAAGCGTTTAACTGATAGGTAATAAATTGTCCAATTCTTCTATAAATGTAGATGTAAGTACTTTAAAGGATTACAAAACAAAATCCCAAAACCCGATCGAAATCGGTCCGATAGTTTTGGTATGAGACAATTTGTTACTAAATTTTAGCGCAAAATGTCGTTATTTTTTTGCGTCAGTGCTGGGGTTAAAGTTAGGCATTTTAATTGGCGCTGATTTTTTTACACATACTTGGACTCTTTAACTATCATATGGAATCGTTATAATATTAATTTTCTTTTTTTTAATAATTTTTGGAGCGATTTTAAAAAATCGAAAAATTTTGACTTTATAAACAAATACGTTCGTGAAGCGGTTTTGAGGGTTGGAAAATATACCAAAGCACTAAAAAATAGTTCTCGGAAAGACGCTTAACATGAAAAAAAGAACGTTCAAATCGCTCAGATAAGTTCCGAGATATAGAGTGTCAAAGTCAACAAGCGCTTGCTGCAAAACTATACATAAAGTAACAACAACAAAAATTGAATTTGGTAGGTTTTTTAAAGAACTTTCCGTGTGTGTTTTTATAAATATGACCGCACATGTGTTTTTTATATGAAAATTAAATGAATATCGTTAAGCCGAGAGGAGGGGATGAATTATTATAGAAATTGAAATATATATTATAGCAAATTTCATAACAAACAATTTCATTAGTAATAGTTTTTTCTGTAAACTGCATATTTAAGAAGTTATATTGGAAAATGTTAGAAAAAACACGTGATTTTTGAGTATTTTTGCAGTTTTTAATTTTTTCTGCAAATAGCACAACTTTTTTTCTTGGCGCAACCTTATATTTTCATTGTTTATATTATTTTCGACCGATTTTTACTAATATCTAATCTACGTCAAGCAACAGCCATATCTCGAAGGTTTTGAGCTTAATTCTCTTGGACTATATCTAGTCGATTCTGACACTATTCAGCCTTTGCATAGCAATTATACTAATCTTTAATTAATTGCATTAAATGCGAAGTTGATACCCCAGGCTGAATTTCGTTCTCGATTTACATACATTGATACATACAGATTGATTTTCGTTTTCTCAAAAGTGTCCAGCAACTTTTCCGAAAGAAAAATAATTAGATTTTTTTTTCATATTTTGAATTTTTATTTTTTCTTAAATTTTAACGATATCTAATGTAGAATAGAAATTGACCACCCCATAAAACGTAGGTAGCATCAATCAATAAGTTCATCAGAATAATCCTTACCGGATTTATGATACCTACCTGTCAAACATTTTCCCACACAAATTGGCTGACCACACGTATGGAAGCTTTTAGAGATTTATTTTTTAGGATCGATATTTATGTATATACCTCCATGAGAAAAGAACAATTGAAAAAGAACCTTGTCTTCACATGTTAGGTCGTTAGTAGGTACCTATTATCAACAATGTAGTTATAATCCTGAACTACAAGTGCAGGGTCATTCATAACTAGATTATTATCTTTTTTACCTTTGTATCTAGGCAAATAGGTATTACAGTTTTAGGAAAATAGACAATTTCAAAGTAATATATAAAAAAGAATTGTCAATAAATAATTCAGAATTGCCTTATAAAGCAAGGGTCTAAGTCTCACCGTTTTCACTGTACAGGGCCGTATTGGTCGGTGGTTAAAATAATATTATTTACGAAATCCTTGGTATGCTCAAAACAAATTGGTTCAAATTTGGTGTGGTGGTTTGGATTCACACGTGCATAATTTACTGTAAAATTTACACATTTTTATAGGTCAGTGGCGTAGGAATGGGTAGTAAAGTGGGATTTTTTACCACAACTTCTACGCCAATGACCTAATAATTATTTGGGATTCATTTTTAGATTCCATGGACAATTCAACATAAAAAAACATACTTGTTGAAAATCGGTATAGTGTATTGTTTTACCGAAAATCTCAGTTGAATGGAAGACCGTTTTTCTGATAAGAAATTTAGTTTCTTAAGAATAGGAAATAAATTTTAAATTAATATTATTATAATATCTTTGCATCGGCGAAACGACTGGTAAATTCTAAATATAATCTCTTTTGTATTATTTATTGCATTCGTAATGTGGTGAATTCCCCCTCTGAGCTCATTTTTTTGTTGCGCTACATTGCGGTGGACAGCATATTCAGTGGTACCTCCTTTAAAATTTCATTTGTGCCATTCTGAAGCAATTACAGGTATGATTGCTTAATCAACAGTTCGTTTGTTTCAGATTTTTTTTAAAATTACCTATACCTACATATTAATTTTAGATCTGCGCTGTGCGTCCATTCAAGGGCGTCGCCAGCCAATGGGCTAGAGGGGGGCAAATATAAATTATAGATAGAAATAAGTACAGTGAATAAATTTGTTTTATAAATATTTTTAATAAAACCTTTTTAATACAAAAAACCATAAAAAAAATATAGATAATAATAAAAAAATAAAGAAATTTAAAATTAATAAATTTTAATTTAAAACATAATCTCGTTTTTTTTTGAAAGTTTGTCGACCACTTTATTAATAAAATCTTCATGGTTGTCAAAAATAAGCTTTCTGTGTATAGGTACTCATCATTGCTAGCCCCGTGAGATGATTTTATACCATAGTATTCTTCAGACGGGTTTTTATACTTCTTTTTTTTAATTTGAAATTCAAGAGTTAATTTTTTAAAATATGGAAATTACTTTTTAACAATAATTTTTATTTTTAAATTCTTTTGTCAACAAATATTTATACAAATTTATTACAATTCTTTAAAAAAAAACAAAATGGTGTACTTATTATTTTATTAAAAATTTCCAATCTAAATATTTTCTTAACTTAAGAAAATGTTTGTACTTTTCTCGAATTTCTAGGGGGGAGCAGCCCGCTTGGCGACTCCCTTGCGTCCATTACAGTATCCGTACTAACGATTGCCATGAAAAAACAACTAAGCAATAATAGACTTGACTGTCATCATTTTATTTTTAATATTTGAAATATTAGTTAGTGTTTGTAAAAAAATGGATGAATATTCAAGTCTTATCAGAAGAACAGTCGCCCATTAACACTGATGAGAT